GCCAGTAGATGAGTGTAAACTGCAGAGTCCTGGCCAGTAGATGAGTGTAAACTGCAGAGTCCTGGCCTGTAGATGAGTGTAAACTGCAGTGTCCTGGCCTGTAGATGAGTGTAAACTGCAGTGTCCTGGCCTGATGATGTAGATCGTCTGTGCTGGCTCATTCTTTTGAACAGTGGCTGTTTTGTTTCTCCAATGTATGACTAAACACAGTCCTCCTGACACTTAACAGCATACACTATATTACTCTGTTTTTGCCGGGGAACTGGATCTTCACTAAAGAAGAACCCATCCAGAGGACCTACTTATTTTTTCTTTTTGACTCACCAAATATTCTACCATCTCCCTGTTCTCACCATCATAGTCCACATGAATTTGTTTCTTATCTAGCTTTTGGTCTAGAGCAAACATGTAGGGGCAGTGGTGACATTTCCTTATTGAAAGTTGACACAGAGGTATCAAAATGTGTGTGTATGAGGGGGGGTTACGGGTCATAAACTAAACAGAATGATGGACCTTTTGAAGTCTCCTCTCTGTTTGTCTATCTACCAAGTCTTACAATCTATATACATATATATATGAAAACATCTGTGCTGCTGTGTTCCCCTGCTCCACGAGCTTCCTCCAATATTAAGCCCAAAGAGCATACAAAAAAAGGCATCAAACTAGCTTTAGGTACCAGTAAAGGGATGCACAACTTCTCCATAAAAGCAAAGCAGTAACAAATAAAAGGTTTAACACTTAATAAAAGCACAGTGTCTGCCTGGTTTCATACTAAGGGATTAATGAAACTTTTGAAAAGACAAGTGATCATACTCATATGTAGGAGAGACTTCTGAGTGACCTCCACCGCCTGCACTTTGAGAGAAGGGAATGTCGGACGGGCTTATTCCAAACTCCTTTACTCTGCAGAAAAGAAAATAATCTAAAATAAGACAGGAAAGAATAATGGGCCATCATGTTTTACGTTAATAAGATATATCACATTAGATGAGGATCTAGACGTGTAACTTCCTATAGCATTCAAAAATCTTTTTCATAAGCAACTAGAATTATTGACATTTTCTTCAAATTTACAGTGTGAATGCTAACATTTATTGAAGAAGCTGAAAGTGAGATGGCAAAGTTGAAAACAAGAGAAACAAAAACTAAATGAGCAGAATAAATTCTGAAACAGTCAGAACACAAGTTAAACAGGAAAACAAGCTACTATGATCTGAACAGTAAAACGATAAAAAGGCAGAAAAATGATGACAACAGTTGCTCAAAGCTAAAATAAAGAGAATATAAAAAGCTAGATTAAGTAAAACAGCAGCTAAGAGCTAGATTACGGTCGTTATGACATCATTTTTTTTGTTCTGCTCTCGGAGGAGTAAGACACTTTTTCCTTCTCTCCTGCCCTTCCTTATCTTCCCTGCTTCACTGCAAGGAGCCTTCTCTACGTTTTTCATCCGAAACCAGAAATTATGGTTATTTTTATGGACTTGGTTAGCTGGTCTCTCAATAAAACTTTTGGAACAAAGTTTTTTCTTCTTCCATGGGAGGACATGTCAATGTTGGACCTCTGTTCTGCTCTGTTCTGGATATACAGTGTGTCTGGACTCCAATCACTGGATTCTACAGATTGGCCTGGTAGTCTCCTGGTGTTCTACAAAACAGAGTGGGTAGATGTTCATCTCCTGGCTGACTGACTAATTTGATGGATTGCCGTTCTATCAGCACTTGGACATGTTGCCTTGAGCGAGCTGGACTCAGTCTGCAAGCAGTTCTATTGAGGGTCGAGGGCCGGCTGTGGTCCCTAGACTTTGCTGGCCAGATGGATTTCATCTTGGAGGAGCTGATAGATCAGCTCGGTGGAATTTGTCCACATTATTTGTCTGATTGGATTCACCACCTTGAGATGCACCAGCAGACATTAATGCAGATGGAAAATTGTTGTTGTCTGCTTGTCTCTTTTGTTCCCAAAACAACTGATTACAGAATCTGGCTCTCCCCGACAATGACCTTGATCTGTTGACTAAATTCTTCCTGGCTGGATATGTCGACGAGGCTCTGCCCCACACCTCCCCCCTCCTCTCTCACCCGTTTGATTCTGGTCTCCTGAGTAGGATGGGGGCTCACAGAATGAACAGTTCCATCAATATTCTGAACTATGGCTGCGCTGGTTTAGGGGACTGTATTCTTCGGGCCCCCCTAAACTCACTTACTCCTCTGGCTAATAAATCTGCCCTATGCAGAGGTTTTTTTTCATAAATACCATAGTGTGTCACAGTGTTGATATAATATGATGTTTTTGTTTTTTTCCTCATCTTCCCTTGTGTGGTTTTTCTGTGTTTTTTTTCTGTTTAAGATGGTGCCATGGTAGGCAGCCTATTACTGCAGCTCCCGTCTTGAGTTGCTGTAATGTGCACATTTCCCCATTGTGGGATCAATGAAGTTCAATCTTATCTTATCTTTTCTCTTATCTTATCAAATATGCTTAACAAACTACAAGATTAAACCAGCAGAATAGTAGCTAAAAGTCATTAAATCCTAAAACCAGCCTAATAATGTCAATACTATATCTCAATAGAGTGGGTAAAAAGTAAAACTAACTAATTAATTGGTAAGAAAATGGAAAAAAACAAGCTCTCTAATGTCTGATAAAAGCAAAACCATAACTATAAGCTAAAATTAGTGTAGAAAAATGTCATTCAAAAATGGAAGTATGAATACTAGCAGGAACCCACATGGATTTCTTCTAAAAACTTTATTCTTGTTTCTGAGTCCAGTCAGCTTCACAGCTACACAGTGGACAGTCCTCAGAGTAAAAAGGCCTTCATCGTCTCTGGGACCCAAACAAAACACAGCAGCCCAGATTGTCCCAGGCTGCTCTAAGCAGAGGTTCTAATAAACTAACAACTTCTAAAAACACTTTTTCCATATCATGATGATTCAAGCTTTTAACTTCTTCAGGCTCTTCCAGGTTACACCCCTGAATGTGGTAACTTTTACATCAGATGTCAGAACATAACCAGCTTTTGTTGATACTAGAGAGAGAATACATCACACACCAACTCTCATCAGCCCTGTTTCCATCCAATTTTAATTTAAATTTTGAGGGAATTTTTAAAATTTTGCAAAAAGGAAAAATAGAAGAATTGCGAACCAAACATGTTTCCATCACCAAGCGGATTGCGGCTCGGGTGATGGCTGAGGCAAAAACTCGGGCATGGGAGGAGTTCGGAGAGGCCATGGAAAAAGACTTCTGTACAGCTTCGAGGCGATTCTGGTCCACTAATCAGGTGTCTTGGGGGGGAGTGGTTCACCACCAACACTATTTATGGTGGGGATGGTGCGCTGTTGACCTCAACTCGGGYTGTTGTGGGTCGGTGGGCGGAATACTTCGAAGACCTCCTCAATCCTACCGACACGACCATGAGGAAGCAGAGCCTGGGGACCCTGGGTTGAACTCTCCAATCTCAGGTGCTGAGTTCACCGAGGTGGTTAAAAAGCTCCTAGGTGGCAGGGCACCGGGGGTGGATGAGATTTGCCCAGAGTTCCTTAAAGCTCTGGATGTTGTGGGGTTACATTGGTTGACGCGATTCTACAATATCGCGTGGACATCAGGGGCAGTTCCCCTGGATTGGCAGACCGGGGTGGTGGTCCCCATATTTAAAAGGGGGACCACAGAGTGTGTTCCAACTATAGGGGAATCACACTTCTGAGCCTCCCTGGTAAGGTCTGTTCGGGGGTTCTGGAGAGGAGAGTCCGTTGGATAGTCGAATCTCAGAACAGTGGACAAGCTCTACACCCTCAGCAGGGTCCTGGAGGGTGCATGGGAGTTCGCCCAACCAGTCTAAGTGTTTTGTGGACTTGGAGAAGGCATTCGACCATGTCCCTTAGGGACTCCTGTGGGGGGGGGGGGGRACCAGGCCCATTGATACGGGCTGTTAGGTCCCTGTAGGACCGGTGCCAGAGCTTGGTCTGCATTGCCGGTAGTAAGTCGGACTCATTTCCGGTGAGAGTTGGACTCCGCCAATGTTGTCCTTTGTCACCAATTCTGTTCATAACTTTCATGGACAGGATTTCGAGGTGCAGCCAAGGCGTTGAGGGGATCCTTTTTGGTGGCCTTAGGATCACATCTCTGCTTTTTGTGGATGATGTGGTCCTACTGGCTTCATCAGATCCTGATCTCCAGCTCTCACTGGATGTCTGTCGCAGGGTGTCTGGGCTCTCCCTTAGAGATAGGGTGAGAAGCTCGGTCATCCGGGAGGGACTCAGAGTAGAGCCGCTGCTCCTCCACGTCCAGAGGAGCCAGTTGAGGTGGCTCGGGCATCTGGTAAGGATGCCTCCTGGACGCCTCCCTGGTGAAGTGTTCCGGGCACATCCCACTGGGAGGAGACCCAGAGGAAGACCCAGGACAAGCTGGCCCAAGTGGCTGGGGAGAGGGAAGTCTGGGTCTCTCTGCTTACACTGCTGCCCCCGCGACCCAATCCCGGATAAGCGGCAGAAAACGGACGGATGGACAGACGGAAAAATAGAAGAAATGTGAGTCAGACATGTTTCCATCAACTGGCTTGAAGATAATTATCCAGGCTACACAAAGTGTAATTAAGTCAGATGTGTTATGGAATAATTATATAACTCTCCATTGTACCAAGACATTGTCATTACTGTATCTCATTTGATAACTGGATTCGGCTGTTTTAATCTGTTTGCCCTAGACTTTAAGATGCCGGCAATGTGTGACCTCTCTTATTTTGATAAGGTATTTCCTGAACTGGAGCTCTGTCATTGGTTAGATGTTTACAGTTGTCGGACTGTGATTGGTTATAAGCTTGTTACAGGATGTTATATCACTGGATGCTGTTCACTGACGTGGAAGCCATAGCTTGACAGAGTTCTTTGATCGACCTCTGTTCGTTGTTGCTCCATTAAAATCATGACGGCCATAAACGCAGACCTTTTGCATTATTCCACATGTTTCTGCATTTTTAATAAATTCTGCCACGACAAGATGCATGGCTGTAGTAAACAGGAAGTAGAAGTCGCAAACTTGCAGGGACTACACATCTTAGGACAATGGAGAGAAGTTATCAAGAACATGTTGCTACTATCAGGAAAGTTGTACTTATTCTGTCATATCAACTAGTTTTAGTGATGTTACATGCTGTCTAGAGACGTAAAAAAAGAAATACAATTCTCTTCATGTCACAAGAATAACTGAGAAGACAACAACAGTGAGATGAGGGTCCAGCTGCAGTCGCTCTGGTACCTATACCGGACAGACAGCAAGAACAGCTGATCAATGAGGTAAATGTTTGCTGTGACAGAACTCAAATGTGTTTCCATCTCTCCTTTTGCACATTAACTCTTTTTCGAAAAACCCAAGTGAGTGGGGCCTCTTAAGTGGGCCTATTACTCTCACCAACAAGACACTGAGCTTTGAATCAAAGCTTCTTGTCTCTCAGAAGAACACCAGGTTAGAAACACTCAGTGTTCTAAGCTTTTCAGTATCCATAAAAGGTTCTCCAAGAATTATTTTCCATTGACTACTCAAGGCCAGACATTGGATTAAGTAGTGCAAAGAGGTCTCTAATTCAATGCCACAGGCATTGCACAGACCTTCTGACTATTGATAATTAACTAAGTTTTGGGATTAATGAATTTATGTTTGGGAGGAATAAAAAGTTCCTCTATTTCGTCTCAGCCGCCGAATGGTTTGCCAGAATCTCCTCAGAGCCAATCAAGAGTCTTTGTCCAAGGCCTCACCGAACTCCTCCCACATCCGAGCTTTTGCCTGAACAATGGCCAAGGGTGCGGCCTGCTTGGCCTGCCGATACTCCTCAGTTGCCTCTGAAGTCCTACCAACCAACAAGGTCCAGTAGGACTCTTTCTTCAGCTTTGACTGCCTCCTTTACCTGGGGTATCCACCACCGAGTTCGAGGATGGCCACTGCGAGAAGCACCGACAACTTTGCAGCCAGAGCTCAAGGCAGCCGCTTCAACAATTGGCATGGAACATGGTCCACTCAGACTCAATGTCCCCCGACTAGGCTGGGATGTGGTTGAAGTTCTCCCGGAGGTATGAGTTGAAGATCTGTCTAACGGGTTCCTCTGCCAGGCGTTCCCAGCAAACCCTCACTCGCTTGGGTCTACCAGGTCTGTCCAGCATCTTCCCCTGCCATCTGATCCAACTCACTACCAGGTGGTGCTCAGTTGACAGCTCAGCTCCTCTCTTCACTCGAGTGTCCAAAACATGCGGCCGTAGATCCGATGACACAACTACAAAGTCAATCATCGATCTGTGACCTATGGTGTCCTGGTGCCACGTGCACATATGGCCACCCTTATGTTCGAACATGGTGTTTGTGATGGACAAACTGTGAGTAGCACAGAAGTCCAACAACAGAACACTGCTCAGGATCAGATCAGAGAGGCCGTTCCTCCCAATCACGCATCTCCAGGTCACACTGTCGTTACCCACGTGGGCATTGAAATCCCCCAGCAGAATTAAGGAATCCCCAGGTGGAGCACCTTCCAGCACCCTCGCTAAGGACTCCAAGAAGGCTGGGTACTCTGAAAAATCATTTAGTGCATAAGCACAAATGACCTTCAGAGCCCATTCCCCCACCCAAAGGTGATGGGAAACTACCTTCTTATCTACTGGAGTAAACTCCAACACACAGGCACCAAGTCAGGGGGCCAAAAGTAGACCCACACCAGCTCAGCATCCTAGGTGACATTGCCAGACAAAGAATGATTCGACAGACTCTTATGGACAAAATAAATCAAGGAACTTGGTGTCCATTGCCCGGATGTGGGCTTTCACATTTTGGAGAAGCTGAAAGAAATCCCCTTTGGAAAAGAAAGGAGGCATCTCAAAATCTTATCTGTCCTTGCTCTCAGCAATTGATCTTTCAAAATCTTCTCAGGTTCTTGAAAGATGCAGACAGGTCAAAGCAAATTACTAAAGTGGTTGGAAGCAATTCTTCCATGTCTTTTATTCTGGCCTAAAAAAATTCTTACATTATCTAAGGTAATTGAAAAGAATTTTGCTACTAAAACCTCAACTGCCTTATTTAGAGTTTGGTGTACTTCACTTGGTCTCTTTTCTGCTTGAGAAGCACTTAGTAGCGTTCACAACTAGGCTAGGAAGGTAACACTGGAAAACAGAAAATCTGCAGTTCCACCTACATCTGGAATGTGCTGGATTAGAGAGGTCCTTTCCTTACTTAACCGAGTAAAAATGTTGTTTTTGTAGATGTGCAATGTACATTTATGCAAAGCCACTGACATTTGCTAAAGGGTAGTGGCCTTGATTTCTAGGACATAAATAAATACATTTCTAAAATTCTTAGAATAAATGGATACACTAGTAAACTATAAAGGATTAAGAATGAATATTTTTGTTTAACTGTACTCTTTTTCTATTAGAAAAAATCTTATTTTACCTGTTGGCATATCTCAGAGTATTGAGTGTATTTTCACAAGACGCCATTCCAGGAGAGATGGTCGCAATCTGTTAATGGAAAGATCACAAAATGGTTCAGAAAATATATCTGAAAATTTACCAACACTTATTTCTATCAGTTCTGCTCTGGTGGAAAGGGTGTCGCTGCAGTCACCAAGTAGAAGTTTCTAGTTTTGTGCATGAAGTTTGTCCAAGACATTATTGATCTGTTTGACTTTTGTGGAAATAGTTTGTTAAAGACATAATTGTTTGGATTGACTTTTTTAGGTGGGGTTTGAAGAAGCTGCAGGCAGCTGGTAGTAGCCGGGTCAAAACGGTCAGGAAGCACCTTTATATTTTAAATATAAATATTAATTTTAGTCATCTTAGTTGAGACAGGAAGGTGCGGACAGCATAAAATTTGAACGCCGTACATTTGGAGGGACATGTAACAATTTGGCTCGGTCAAAACAGCACTGAAAAGATTGCATGCATTAAAAAATTGTGGCATTATTTTTTCCTTACCATACATGTTCTGGAGTTTTCTCCTATGAAGGAGTCCCTCAACACTTGAGTTAACTTGCTGGCTCTGAAGGGAGTGTGAGGTTTGTTTCTGCCAAGAGCTCGGATGCATTCCTGCAACAACAAAACATAATATTTGGACAATTCAGTTATTTATGCTTCAAAATTTACTTAGAAAAATGACTACTTATTGGCTTTAATGGCACAATTTGCCATTTAGGGGCTGATTTATTAAATGTTTGCCTGTGTAAAAAGTGCAAACTTAATAGTGCACAGAAAGTTGATTTAATTACCATGTGCACTGAGGATTGCTTCTGTCAAATGAGCAAAATAGCAGATGCAACCCATTTAGTGTGTTTAACTTCAAGAATATGTAGAATACATGATGATTATATAAACCTGATACTGTGGCTGCTATTTTTTGCTTCTTACTAGAGATCCGGGCGTCATGTGACCAAGTTTGTTTACGATGCCATTTTGGCAGGAAACAGCGAGCGGGTAGCAGAGAAATCAATGAGAAGAATGGATAGAAGCGGTCAAGTTTCTGAGAGCGATACACATCGATACACCACAGAACTTCACAGACACAAATCAGTGATCCATATTTAGCTCGTGGTGTGCTTTTTAAAACAACTGATCAGGTGGCAGGGAGGGGCGGGACTCCTGAATGTGCAGTATCCTGATATATACAAATACCTAATCAACTTTCCGTCACACTACACCAGATATTCACTGAAGGCCTACAAAAGTCTAGAGGGATATAAATTGACTCAATCGGGATTTGTGACCGAGATACTCCTGTAGAGTTTACCACAATGGGATTGTTTTGTTGTTATGACAAAGGTAAGTAGCCTACCATTATGCTAGCATTAGCTAACATTAGTCAGCAAGCTTGTAGCTGAAATATCACGCTGTGCATCTGATTTTTGTTTCAGGTGAGTCATACACAAAGATTAAATGACCCCTCCCTGAAACCATGGCAGTGGTTAGAAGAGATGGCGTAGTGCTAGGTGCACGTTGTAATTGCACAGTTGGACAGGGCGAGTGCTGCTCTCATGTGTCTGCCTGCCATGCTGTTCAGATTATGGCAGCATAACCAAGATAAGGAGGAAGAGATGACAGCAACATCTAAAAAGTGCAAATGGGACAGACCGAGTGAAACTGCTATGAAGAAGGTGGAGTATCTGCAGGGAAAGAATGTTGTTTTCAACAATACACAAAAATCCAAAAAGCAGAGCAAGACCCAAACACCCTCCTCAAACCCCAAAGCCTTCCCACCACTGACCCCAAGTGAGAAATGTCAGCTTTACAAAAACTTGTCCCAGTGCTGTACAAAAGATGGACAAACAATAAAACCAGTAATCTTGTCTCTTGTGAGGGGGCTTTCAGACTCATATGTCCCTAAAACAGTGAATTTAGACCTGCCGGATCCCCTCACAAACCTTTATGAAAAAGTAATGAGATGTGAGTAGAGACGAGCTGCAGAAAAGACCAGAAGCTGTCTGTGAGCAGTCAGTGAGTGAAGAACAGGTGAGGTAGTAATTTTATGTGTTCACATAGTGTCAAAAATATGTCTTGATTTGCTTAGTAATTATTATTTAATTTTCAGAGTGATATTGTTGAGGAGGAGACATGAGATCAGCAAAGGTCAAAACCATGGTCAGTGGTGGGCAGCGCTAATCAAAAAAATTAGCTCCGCAATTTCTAAAATGCCTATAAAAATATTTAAGTCCGCAACTTCAAAACTGCTTATGCCATAGAAAAACTAGCGGAAGCTAATTTTGAAGTGCAAGTTCAATTTGAAACTTGCTAGCTGACAATTCATGTACAATATATGCACAACACTGCCAACTAGTGGTGTATGAACTCTTTTATAACTTAATTCTACAACCGCCGATAGCTGGGGATGTGATTTCCTGAAACAGACCTTTAGCTCCTGGTGTAAAAATTAAAAAGTTATTGAGGATTGCTAGTTCAGCTGATTCTTTAAAAAGTTATTGAGGATTGCTAGTTCAGCTGATTCTTTAAAAAGTTGTTGAGGGTTGCTAGTTCGGCTGCTTCTTTGTCTTCTTCTTTTGTTTGTTGTAGATTTTTCATTAAAGAAGCATCAGTAAAGTAATTTTAAAACTGTTTATTGGAAAACTGAAGCGATGCATTCTGGGTACATGATGGAGTGACGGGAAACTAAAGTACGGGGAACAGGAAACTAGTATCTTCCCTTCAAAATAAGAGCTTGGATTTTAAAGTTTTCCAGTTCACCTGAAACTCATCAGACTGAAGAAGTCTCTTGGAGGAGAGACGAAACATTTCACTAAAGAAGAACCATCCAGAGGACCTACTGATTCTTTCTTTTTGATTTTTTTCTACCTGGATTAGGATGTTTTCCATGTAGTTACTCCAGTTGACCACTAGATGTCTGTCTTCACCAGCATAACGTCTTTAAATCATTTCTGAGTCTCTAACCCCGTTGGCCGATTGCTTCGACCAATTACATCAAGTATTGAGCTCCAGTGTTTAAACTTTATTTTTAAAAAGGAGCTCTGATTGTAAAGTAAAATAAATCAATACATACAAAATTTTAGTATGGATTACAAACGTTAACTGTTTTTACTGGGACAGGGAGTTCTAAACATTGCCTTCCTGCTACGTAAGCAGACACAAAGCATTGTGGGAAATCAGAAGCGTGACCCAAAGCAACAGTCAGCAGGATGTATACCTTCACAATAAGTGTGTTTATCTGGGAGGGGTGCTGTTGGATAGATCACATGTGTTGTGATTCATTGACAGTCATACCTTCTGCTGTTCAACATAATGATGACTGCTAGATAATTAGTTATTAGTGGTACTGCTTTTTAATTTTAGAAAGTGCAAATCTGCTTATGAATTATAAAAATTAGTAAGACCGCTAAAGCTCAAATGAAATATTTAGGTCTGCAATTAGTGGATTTGCACTTTAGCGGACTAGTGCCCACCACTGACTGTGGTTTGAACAGAGCTGGCAGAAATACTGCATGGACATAAAGTGCAGCAAATAAAACAGACATCAGGAAACCTTCAGTATCTAAACATGCTATCCGCAGTCTTACAGTTCATCAAGTGAGGCAGCAATGTTACAGTATGTATTATGAAATGGTGTTTATACAGTAAGCATTAAAGAAAACACACACACACACACACACACACACACACACACACATTTATTCATTTCACAATATTCATTATTCTTAATTTTCTGTAAAGTGATTTAAAAATTAATGATTTTTTTCTTCATGACTTGACTTGATCCCAATCCATTGAAAAAAAAAAACCATTGTACAGATTTTTGAGCTTTACATGCAATTTTAAACCAACTGCTATTATTTTGAACACAGCTGTTTTTGAAGTGCAACTCTGATTCAGTTTATTAAAATCGTTAAAATGCAGGGTTTCTACAGAGCTCAGACCTTGAGTGCCAACAAACTCTTGTTGATCTCTGCCCCTTCCAGTCGAGTCTGTCGGTCTGCACTTGATGTGTCCGCCCCTCGCTCATTTCCTGCCAGATCAATTAGGGAGAATTTTCCATGCAGCTTCCCCCGCCGGCGCAGAATGATCTGGAACACAGCGTGGCTCCGAGAGGAGTGAGCGTTTGCAGACGTCTGCCCAGAAGTCCTAAAAGATGCACAAAGAAATGTCACTCTCAGCCAGATTCTTCCCACGACTGTTCTGTTGATAACCTGCTCTGATACTTACCTGCAGCTGTTCCCCATTTCAATAAGTTTCAGGACATCCTCAGTGCATTTCACTTCTCTCTCCTGCAGCCCCACCACCTGCACCTGTTGCTTACCATCCTCCAGGACCCGGAGCTTAGCTTTACGGTTCAGCAAATCAAACACCTATGAACAGAAATTCAATCATATAATTAATGATTTACAGCAGGACAAAAACATGTTAGACGTATTTTCACTTTTTTAAATGATTTCTCTAATGATGTTAAGATATCCCTTGGTGATTGTCTGTGGTGGGCGCCAGTCCGCTAAAGTGCAAATCCACTAATTGCGGACCTAAATATTTCATTTGCGCTTTAGCAATCTTATTAATTTTTATAATTCATAAGCAGATTTACACTTTCTAAAATTAAAAAGCAGTACCACTAATAACTAATTATCTAGCAGTCATCATTATGTTGAACAGCAGAAGGTATGACTGTCAATGAATCACAACACATGTGATCTATCCAACAGCACCCCTCCCAGATAAACACTCTTATTGTGAAGGTATACATCCTGCTGACTGTTGCTTTGGGTCACGCTTCTGATTTCCCACAATGCTTTGTGTCTGCTTACGTAGCAGGAAGACAACAGCAAAAACAGTTAACATTTGTAATCCATACTAAAATATTGTATGTATTGATTTATTTTACTTTACAATCGGAGCTTCTTTTTAAAAAAAATAAAGTTTAAAAGCTGGAGCTCAATACTTGACGTAATTAATTGAAGCAATCAGCCAACAGGGTTAGACTGACATCTAGTGGTCAACTGGAGCAACTACATGGAAAACTTTAAAATCCAAATCCGTCATGTACCCAGAATGCATCGCTTCAGTTTTCCAATAAACAGTTTTAAAATTATGTTATTGATGCTTCTTTAATGAAAAATCTACAACAAACAAAAGAAAAAGACAAAGAAGCAGCTGAACTAGCAATCCTCAACAACTTTTTAATTTTTACACCAGGAGCTAAAGGTCTGTTTCAGGAAATCACATCCCCAGCAATCAGCTGTTGTAAGTTAAGCTGTACACAGGTTCATGCACTGCTAGTTGGCAGTGTTGAGCATATATTGTACATGAATTGTTGCCAGCTAGTAAGTGTTAAATTGAACTTGCACTTAAAAATTAGCATCCGATAGTTTTTGTATGACATAAGCGTTTTTGAAGCTGCAGATCTAAATATTTTCATTAGTGCTTTAGAAATTGCGGAGCTAAATTTTGGATTAGCGCTGCCCACCTCTGTAGATTGTGTTCAAACACTAACCTTTCCACTATATATCTCAAAGAACGTGGCAAACACTTGCAGATCCAACTTCTTATATGTCGGTTTCTTCAGCATAAGAAAAACATCTCTGGCTGCAGAGAGAGAGAAAAATGTGAAATCTCATTAAATTACATAAAACTGTTTAAGTCCTAGCATACCTTGAATAAATGCATAGTTCCCAATATTAATTAGTCAAGACAAATGTCACTCTTGGAGTATGAGTTGTGAATTTCTCCAAATTTTGGCTCCATATTTTTAAAACTGACAGAGTTCTAACTATTTCTGGTGTTTGATAAGGTCCCTTATAGCCTTGGTTGCCATCTTGAATCAAATTAAGTCTAAAAGTTGTGAATGTATATGTAGTGATTACTCTGTGAGTTTCACTAAAATCCATCAAGTGGTTCATGAGATGTCTTGTTAAAAGAAAGAAAAAGTTGACTGCAGTAGGTACTGGCTATGTTTTAATACATCTGTTTTATAATTGGTTAGTGTTCAGAAAATGTGTTATGATTGTGTTCATCCAATGTTTATGGAGAGGATCTCTACAAACCTGTTCAGTGGCTAATGAGATATTTTGGTAAAAGACACAAAAACACACATACACAAACATGAGCAAAAACATTATCGCTCTGCATTTACTTATGGTGGCAGGCAATAACGCAAGTAGATGAGACCTACCAGACAGAGCATAGATCCCCTTTGAGCAGTCCTGATTTTTTCCTGAAAAATCTCCTCCCATTGTCTGAAAAGAAACAAATTCTAACATGACAACTTAAAGATTAACATCACTTGATGCTCCATGAAAATGCTCCTCTGAAAAAAAGTAATCTGTCCGAGGAAGCTGGCTCCTTGGTTTATTTCTGAGTCTGTACTTTGAAAACAGTCATCTTAATTAGGAATATACACCATACTTAATAGATGTTTCCAAGATCTGTGTTAAGTGTTCTAAAGATCAGGGGACTTTGGCTCATCTCTTTTTTCATTTGTTTGATTTTCTGTCTGGGGCAATTAGCAGGAGGTCTCGTGTACCCCACTCACAGCGTTGTTTGGGGTGACTGATCCAGGATGGATTAGGGACAAGAAAGAGATGCAGGTCATATTTTATGATTTATGAAAAAGGAAAGTCTTCAGTCTAATTTTAAAAGTAGACAGAGTGTCAGCCTCACGGARASAAACTGGAAGTTGGTTCCACAAGAGAGGAGCTTGATAACTGAAAGCTCTGCCTCCCATTCTACTTTTAGAAACTCCAGGAACCACAAGTAAACCTGCAGTCTGACAGTGAAGTGCTCTGTAGGCTACGTTCACACTGCAGGCAAATCCGACCCAAATCCGATTTTTTTGACCCATCTGACTC